CTTTCAGCTAGTTGCTAATAAAGCCCTGAGTGTCCAAATCCAAGGTATTAGTTAGCCTTTGCCGATCACCTGGAAAAAAAAATTGCCTGAACTAGTAGATAAAGCAACTTTTATAGTAATGACCCATGGCACACCTTAGTTATTTCCATTTAAATACCAACATGAAAATTATTTGGTTGAATTCATTCCAATGTGCTCTTGATCTTCAATTTTAGCAAACAACAAAATCCATGTAACAGTTCCTGAAAGGAAGGTCAGGGAAAATAGTAAAGTAGGAGAAATTTCCCCACTTTCACATAATGGCCAATGTTAGAGGAGAAAGAAACATGCTGGGAAATTGTCTAAATGACTATAATAATATTCACATTCACAGTACATGGTGTTCTATGTGGCTATGCTATGTACCAGTGTAATATTACATAGTACAAAAGGTACATAGTGAGGACAGTAACTGGCCTGAGGTGCAAGATATTGAAAAGTATGCTAGTTTAAGTGTTAAAAATAAGGTGCTTGCTAGAATAACCAATTTTGTTAATTACTTAAAATTTCAATTTAACACCCCCCAAAATCAATGAAATACAAGCTATGAGAACTTGCTTTATTCTTAATTATTGCTAAAATCTCTTTCAACATCAGACATTAGTCATCAGTATACGAAACAAATGAGCTCATTAGCCCAGAAGCACTGATTATTCACAGCAAACCAGGATATCTAGGTACCTCTCTTAAGACATTTATCAGTCACCCACACACTGGTGTGTTGAAGATGGTGATTCTGATGCTTATCCTATCTTACCTCATAAAGTTTCATAAGACTTTCTGAAACAAGTGTTAATCTATGCAGTTCTGCTTTCTATGTACTTCTGGTCTATTTTTCCTGAATCCACCCCACCCTTCCTTTCTAATTCCTAGTAGTCTGGGAAGCTGAGGACCTTCGATGTGCACATATTAGCAAACAAAGTAAATGCATCAAATGCGTCCAGATGATGCAACATACAGTTATATTTGGTTTCAAGCTACAGGCCATTTGATCAGTCTGAAGGAGACATTAGCAACAGCTCATATTTAGATTTAATTGCAGGAATTATACTTGGGAATTGACAACGCTGCTCACCTTTAAGACAGAGGCTAAGCTGGTCATGTGCTCATTGAGAGCACCCTCGGACTCCTTGTAGGTCAAGCAGGTGAACTGGTACTCCTCAGGATCAAAGGCATCGGCCCCCTGCTGCTCCACATCGCTGGCTACGCCCACATAATAGTCCTCTATGTCCCCAGGGTCCTCATCCTCTTCCTCTTCCTCACAATTCGGGTCATAGTCCTCTTCATTGCTGTCAGACCCCTGGCTATTCATGTCCACAGACATCTTAACATCCAGATGAGTTGCAGATCAGGAAAGCAGTTTTTTCCCCTCCCCACAAACTTTACCACTTTCTCAAATGCATTAGTGTTTTTGTCTTCTAAAGGAAGAAAAGAAAAAAATAAGTGTTACTTACTTTCACTATGAGAAGCTGTAACAGAAACCATTCAAGAATCAAAATGGCATAGCCCCGGTCCTATCCCCTCTGTGGCCTATTCCAACTCTCCCCTCATACAAGAAACTTCACCACCATCTCTATGCCCAGGCCTTTCAAAGGGAAACCCTTTCCTGGAGGGGCAGAAGCAGTTAACAATGGTAACTTCACATGAAGGGTCTGGCATGAAAGAGTAAGGCTATCTGCTCTATGTCAAGGAGTTAAAGTCCCATAGATTTGTCCTTCCTGCCACGGTCCTTAAGAGAGGAGTACATTCCCACAGCTGGCTGCCCACAGAAGAAGCATCCTAAAAGCTAAACAACCAAAGTTTAAAATCTCTTAGCTAATTATGCTCCACTGAGTGGTGACACAGTACATAAATAGGGACACAGTTCTTTCCCTAATATCTAGGGAAAGAATACCATTGTTTTACAGACATCACTCTCAGATAAATGGAAAAAAAGGTGCATAGTAAAGAAAAAATAAAAACCACATAGCTCTTCAACATCCTCCTCTAGTCTGCAAAGTTAACTGATTTTTCCATTTTAAAGGGTTCTACTAATCTTTTAAAAGAGGTACTTAAGAAGCAAAGAAACTGACCCAATAGTGAAGGAAAACTATAGATATTCTGCCTTAGCAGGATCAAGGCTAGAATCTACTTAGGGTAAAGAAACAAGAGATCAAATGTAACCAGCTACTGAAAAATCCTCACAGATCAAAATGTTACTCAATTACATATAAATGAAAAGAGAATACTAGTTGAGAAAGCAAAACAGTCACAAGTCTTAACTTCTTCTCAGAGAGGACTTTGGCAAATACCCATTAACTTCTTGGCACAAGAACTATTTCAAGTGATCATTTCCAAGGAACAGTATCAAATAGTGATTTAAATCTAAAAATAATAGGACCTTAAAATGCAAGAGCATTTGGATTGAATAGTATGTAAATAATTTACATAACCAAATCTGGATCAAATACTAAAGTAAATTTAAAACCTATTTGAAGTACATAATCTCTCCAAAAAAAAAAAAAAAATTAAAACAAAGATTAAAAATCAATGTGTGCTGAATATGTAACCAGTCTAAGGGATTATAGAGCCACATTTTAATGATATTATAAAAATATCAGGGCTTCCCTGGTGGCGCAGTGGTTGAGAGTCCGCTTGCCAATGCAGGGGACACGAGTTCGTGCCCCAGTCCAGGAAGATCCCACGTGCCGCGGAGCGGCTGGGCCCGTGAGCCATGGCCGCTGAGCTTGCGCGTCCAGAGCCTGTGCTCCGCAACAGGAGAGGCCACAACAGTGAGAGGCCTGGGTACCGCAAAAAAAAAAAAAAAAAAAAAAAAAAAAAAAAAAAAATCAGTGAATCTACCTCTGATGTGTTACCTATAAATGCTCAAATTAAAAAATAAGTCACATTAATGAGAGGGCAGTAATGTAATACTTGCAGTTTAACTTTTAACAAAATTGTTTTGTATGCTAGAACCACCTCATCACAACTGAACTTAACTATGGTATTTTTCCTTTAGGAGAAAAAATTAATCTTTAAATTAAATTAAAAATACCTGTAATTCCTGAAGATCTTTCAGGAAGATGTCATCCAAATAGTCTATATAATTTCCATCTAAAATGAAAAGAGATAGTTCTATTTATATATTTTAAAATTGGTACCCTGAGTTTGCAAATTTATTTTTTAAAAAGTAAAAACATTTAAAAGGACAAGCAGCAAGGGACCAGAAATTGTTTTCTTATAAGTCCCACAGAAATCTATATGTCATAATTATATACTGACAAGAGTTACATGGCCTTCTAAAAAAAGAAAGTATTGAAAGTAAACAGTGGGACTTCCCTGGTGGCACAGTGGTTAAGAATCCACCTGCCAATGAAGGGGACACAGGTTCAATCCCTGGTCCAGGAAGATCCCACACGCCAAGGAACAACTAAGCCCGAGCACCATAACTACTGAGTCTGCACCCTAGAGCCCACATGCCACAGCTACTGAGCCCGCGTGCCACAACTGCTGAGGCTCACGTGCCTAGAGCCCGTGCTCCGCAACAAGAGAAGCCACTGCAATGAGAAGCCCATGTACCGCAACGAAGAGTAGCCCCTGCTCACGGCAACTAGAGAAAAGCTTGCGTACAGCAATGAAGACCCAACACAGCCATAAATAAATAAATAAATAAACAGACTTAAATAAATAAACAGCTAACAATAATTTAACCTGGGGTACTGGTGAGAGAAATGGATACCCAGTTCCCTCCCTCAGTTTGAAAGCCCACCACACCTCACTTTTTTTTTTAAATTTTTATTGGAGTACAGTTGATTTACAATGTTGGGCACCACCTCACTCTTATTGTTAAGATTTCCTAAATTAACTACCACAATTTCAATTTTAAATGTTACATAGAGGTTGACAAACCAAATCATAATTGACTTAAACTGGACTTTTGCCATGAAGTCATCTCCACTAACACTTACAGAATACTGCCAATATTTCAGATCTCACTTTATTCATGAAAAAAATATTTTCAAATAAAAAAGTCCCCAAAAGAAAAGAAAACAAAAAACAAAACAAAACAAAAAAGGAGAGAGATAGAGAGAAAACAGAGGGAATTCCCTGGTGGTCCAGTGGTTTGGGCTCAAAAAAAGACAAAAAAAATGTCTCCAGTAGAATGCCCACTAGGCAATATTAACACCCATTTTCCACCTCTCTTCTGACATGCTCAAGGGCTACCTGACTTTCTCAGAAATGCAGATCCCACTATCCAAGACTAAATAAGTACTATTTACTTACTTAATTAGAAATTTTATGTCCATTTCTTTATCCTTTTGAGTTTCTTGGAAAACCAGAGCTTATAACTTTCAAAGAAATACTTCAAACACAAACAGGCAAATTTAAACTAAATGAAAATCAAAGTCCAAACAATGATTATGGAGGATGATTTCCAAAATAGGTGACGAATAACTGATTTTTTTATTGTTTTCTTTTATCTGCATTTTTATGTACGATACTGCTTATTAGGCAAATCTGCATAAAGAGCATTATAAAAATTGCTCCCATCTACAAAATATCACTACCAATAATAGCTTTCATTTAATGAGAGCCAATTTCAGGTCAGACTCATTCTCATTAAATGTTTATAATCCTACAAAGTGGCTATCATCCCCTTCTTACAAATGAGGAAACTAGAGTTCAAAAAGATTAAGCAACTTGCCCAGGACCACACTGCTGCCAACCAGTAGAGTCCAGCATAATACTTTCACCAGATCCAGGGCCTATGAGGACTCATAACGCCCCATCACCCTCCCAGAGAGCCTAATACTATCCACAAAGCTACCTCCAGAATCACAACAAAAAAAGCACCGTTTTGGGCTTCCCTGGTGGCGCAGTGGTTGAGAGTCCGCCTGCCGATGCAGGGGACACGGGTTCGTGCCCCAGTCCGGGAAGATCCCACATGCCACAGAGCGGCTGGGCCCGTGAGCCATGGCCGCTGAGCCTGCGCGTCCGGAGCTGTGCCCGCGTACCGCAAAAAAAAAAAAAAAAGCACCGTTTTCACTTTCTCTAGATTTTTTCTCCAGGATTTGGGCTTACAGGTTGCCCATGGCCTTCTCACCAACTAAATATTCAAGAAACAGGGGAAAACTTCAGGCTGCCTTCCAAAAAGGAGAATGTCATTTCATACTTACTGGGTGTTCTAGGTCCAAATTTAAATAAAACCTTAATTTTTAATCTTTTCCAAGTTAAATACCCCTATTCTATTTGAAAGAGTGCTAACATTGTTTAAAGTGGCCAATATGTTATTACTTTATTAACAGAACTGATGATAACGCTTTGATTTCCTTTGGATATTAAATATTATCCTCACATCCCAAACAGAAAAGGAGTAACCGCAATTACTCCTCCCCCTTCCCCCAGTCAAAGTCACGTGTTCAGAAGACCTGCCACCCACCCTGGGCTAAAGAATTCAAACGGAAGACTTCTCAATTTAAAGATGACAAGAACAAAACACAGACTTTTTGGTGGGTCTGACAACGTTTACTCCAGACGAAATATTTAGCACTGTAGGGTCAGTTACTAAGTCTACAAGTCCGAAGAAAATTACTTGATACAAAAATATGAACCCTGTCTAATACGGTAGCCACTAACCACATGTGGTTATTTAAATTTAACTTAACTTAAAAATTAAATTTAACATTTGCTTTTTCAGTTGAAAGAGCCGTAAGTCAAACGCTCAATGTCCACGTGTGGACAGTGGCTACCCTACTTAACAGCAAAGATACAGAATATGACCATTGTGGCAGAAAGTTCTATGGGACAGGGTAACAATCAGTACTGAGGTGAAGTCATCCCAGAACACGGTCGCCTCTGCCGCCGCTAGCACAGCAGCGTCGGGCGAGACGTCAACGCAGCTCCTGGGCCGCCTGTCCCGTCCGAGGCGCCGGCATATCCGCGAGGACACGGAGCCCACGCGCTGCGGGACCCTTCACCAACGGGCATTAACTAACCGCGCGGGCGGCACTGCTAGAGCTCCCAACGATGACTCGAGTGGGGAGCCCCGAAGGCAGCGCGTCTGCCGGCGCGCCCAGCCGGGAGGGCCCAGATGCGCCGGCGCCAGTCGGTCAGAGGCGCTGGCCTCCAACCTCACTGCGAGCTGAGCAGGCGGCGAGAGTAGGAATAACGGAGAGACGCCAGGCGCCGGTTCGCCCTGGCCTCAGCCTTCAGCCGCCCCTCGGCGGGTGGCGGAGTGCGCTGAAACAGTTTAAGAGCTGCCAAGGGCGCCGGGACCTCGCGGGCAGCGACGAAGGCGGAGCCCTGGCCGAGCTAGGGAGGCGCGCTGAGAGCCCACCCCCTCCCCCGGCCCGCCGGGGTAAACAAGGCCTAGACTCGCACCGCGCACTTACCGGGAGCCGTGGCCCCGCGGCCGCTGAGCCCGGGCGGGCCAGACCGGGTCGGGCCGGGCCAGAAGAACCGGGTCCAGGCGCGGCGGCGGCGGAGGCGGCGGGCCAACCCCGGTGAAGGCCCGCGCTGCTTCCTCCGGCGAAGCCGTCTCAGCAGCTCCGGAAGTGCTCAGAGCAGTTCCGTCACTTCCGGCCCGGGGTCGACCCGCGGTCGCCGGGGTCGCGGCAGGCGCTGGGCAGTAACGCCTCTCTGCGGACACTTCGCTACAGCCCAGCGCTGCGACCCAGAGTGGGCCCAGAGCACAGCCGGTGCCGACGGCTGCGAGAGGCAGCAGAAGAGAGGATTCGGCTTATTGGAGAGTGGTCACGGCATCTCTTCCGGCTTTTGCTTACCAGCGCCGCCCGCCGGGATACTTTAAACCAGGGTTCTTTGTCGGACTCCCCACTTCTCTGTTTGTAATCGGTGTCCGGCACCGAAAAGACATCCAGACGTCCGTGGAGTGGATAAAAGACTGTTGTTTCCCGGCCGCTATCTAGTCGAAGAAAAGCTAGGTCTTTGGGTCAGCGCGCAGGGCCGGGAATTTCTGCGTACGTTCTGAGGCCGTCGCCTGTTGGCCGCCGATTCACAGGACCACGCTAGGCTTCCGCTTCCCTCTCCGCGGCCTAGTTCGCTGCCTAATTCTTTGGCGTCCCATTCACCCAAGATTAAATCTTAACTGCCTTGTTGCACAGTTTCTTCAAACAGTATAGGAAGTGCCATTATGACTTTAAGTACCTTTTAGGGCTTTTGTCAAGTATTATGGATAGACAGAGCCGTGAAGTCCCACTCAAGTTGTTGCTGCACAACGTGGAAACGCCTGTGTGAAGCCAGTGATGTTAGGGAGCCTCCTCGCTGTGCAAGTCCGTGGATAACCCACACCATTTCCACCCATACATGAGTCATGTATACACTGATATTCAAGATATTCAAGATATCGATGTGTAATGGACTCTCCTTTTTTTAGTTCTTGCTTCTTGCACGTATTCGTGTATTTCTTATACATGATTTTCAGCTTCCTGTTTAATTCAGAGCCTGTACCCAAGTCAGGTGCATTCAAATACTAGAAAGCCCCACATTAATTTGGAGTGAAAATTAATAGTAATGAGTAACATATTGTAGGGTTGTGAATTTTATGCATTAACAATGTAAAAGTCTATCTATAATCCAGTGTACTTATTTGTTATGACAAAACATATAATCCCTTTACATCATGACACTAGCGAAGGACCCAAAATATATTTTCTGCTAATGAAATCTCTTTAATTAGAAGCCTTCACTTTGGGTCACTGGTAATAAATCCTCTCCAGTGAATAAAAGGGAACAATCAGTTTTTCTGTATAATTATTGCATTTGCAAAATAGAGAATGAGGTCATTCACATATCAAGTACACAGTATATGTACAATATATTGGAATCCAGTGTACAATCCGTATTTATTCTCCTGTCTTGCCGCCTCTCTTATAGCTGAGTTTCTTAAGGGCACAGATCCAACCTTGTTTTCAATATTACTCTATTAAATAGACGTTTATTGGGCTGATGCTAATACCATTATTTTTAACTAGTGACAATTTCTCCCCAGGAAATAAAGATTTAAAAATTAGGCCAAGGGCTTCGCTGGTGGCGCAGTGGTTGAGAGTCCGCCTGCCGATGCAGGGGACGCGGGTTCGTGCCCTGGTCCGGGAAGAACCCACATGCGGCGAAGCGGCTGCGCCCGTGAGCCACGGCCACTGAGCCTGCGCGTCCGCAGCCTGTGCTCCGCAACGGGAGAGACCACAACAGTGAGAGGCCCGCATACTGAAGAAAAACAAAAATTAGACCAAAACATTTAAAGATACAGATAAAATTTTGTGCACATATATGTGCTTTAGAATGATGATTCTATAGGAAAAAGTTTGCAGCATCCCATATGTTCAAAAGTAAAGGTTTGTTATATTATGGTAAAATATACAATAAAGAAAACCATTAACAATTAGGCTGTACTGAGGCATCTATTAACAGGGAAAGGTATCTGTGATATGAATAGGATATGAAATGATGTGGGTAGTATTCTTTTTTCAAAATAAATTTGCACATAAGATATATAAATATAAAATATAATGTTTCTCTTGCTTTCTGTGGCACAGGAATCTGGACAGGCTACAGTGGGAATGATTTGTTTTAGCCCCTTGATGTCTGGGGCCTCAGCTAGAAGACTAAAATTTCTTAGCCAATATCATACAATTTTTCTTTTGTATAAACCTTAGATTCAGAATGACGGGTTTTCACTTTTGAAAATTCACTGGAGAGCATTGAATTTCTAAGAATAACTTAAGGGTAGTACTGATATCCTCAATATTGAGTCTTTGCATCTAAGGAATATAGTATTTCTTTACAGTTATTTTGTTTTTCTTTTATGTATTTGAATTGTTATAGTTTTAATCACATGGATCTTTGGTTTAGTCTTGCATACATTGTGGGTTTTGCTATTATTCTGAATAAGATTCTTTCTTCATGTTTTCTAATTGGTTATTGTTAACGTATCAAAATGTTATTGCTTTCCAACGTTGTTCTTGTGTCTCTCTCCTTACTTAGCTTGCTTATTAGTTTTAGTGGATTTTCAACTGATTCTCTTCAATTTTCAAAGTGAGCATTTGGATCATTTGAAAATAGGGATATTTTGGACTCTTAATTTTTTTTTTTTTTTTGCGGTACGCGGGCCTCTCACTGTTGCGGCCTCTCCCATTGCGGAGCACAGGCTCCGGATGCGCAGGCTCAGCGGCCGTGGCTCACGGGCCTAGCCGCTCCGCGGCATGTGGGATCTTCCCGGACCGGGGCACGAACCCGTGTCCCCTGCATCGGCAGGCAGACTCTCAACCACTGCGCCACCAGGGAAGCCCTTAATTTTTAATTCTTAAATTTATTTTCTTCCTTTTCTTTTCTCCCTCTTTTTTCACCTCCCTCTTTAATCCCCTCCCTCTTCTCCTTTCTTTCTTCCTTGCTTTCCTACTTCCTTCTCTCCCTCCCTTCCTATTGGTATTTTTGCATCAGCTACCATGTCCAGTAAAACGTTAAGCAGTAATCATGATTAAAAAACATCTTTACCTTTGTTCCTGTCATGAATAGGAAAGTTTCTGATAATTCACCAATAAATAATTTTGCTAAGAAAAATATGGTAGTTATGGGCTTCCCTGGTGACGCAGTGGTTGGGAGTCCGCCTGCCGATGCAGGGGACGCGGGTTCGTGCCCCGGTCCGGGAGTATCCCACGTGCCGCGGAGCGGCTGGGCCCATGAGCCATGGCCGCTGAGCCTGCGCGTCTGGAGCCTGTGCTCCGCAAATGGGAGAGGCCACAACAGTGAGAGGCCCGCGTACCAAAAAATATATATATATTTATATATATATATAGAGTAGTTACTAGTTTGCTTTAAAAAAAAAAAGGTAGTTACTTTTTGTCTATTACAATGGTGTTTACTTCAAATCTTTTTTTTTTTTAGGTGAAGGAAAATGAAGAGAATTTACTGCCTTTAAAATAAATGATAATTTTTTTTCAGGTAAAAGGAAAATGATAACAGAGTGAAATCTGGAACTTTACAAATTAAGGAAGAGAAATTGGAATGATAAATATCTGCGTTAGTTTCCTAGGATGGCCATAACAAATTACTATAAACCTAGTAGCTTGAAACAACAGAACTTTATTCCCTCATATACTCAGCTTCTGGTTGCTATAAGCCTAAGAATTTGTCCATTTCTTCTAGGTTGTCCATTTTATTGGCATATAATTTATTGGCAAACAGGATTAATCTCCAAAATACATAAACAGCTCATGCAGCTCAATATTAAAAAAACAAACAACCCCATCCAAAAATGGGCAGAAGACCTAAATAGACATTTCTCCAAAGAAGACATACAGGGGCCTGGTGCACAATGGCTGCAAACAGCAGCCTCCTCGGTAGTGTATGCAGCCTGTTGCCTGTGTGGGTTGCCCTAAGGGACCTTGGAGACAGCCCTTTCCAGTGGACATTAATGACTGGCATGCTGTTCCCCAATGTAGGCTCCAGACAGGTATGCGTGGTGCCTTTGGAAAGCCCCAGGGCACAGTGGCCAGGGTCCACATTGGCCAGGTCATAATGTCCATCCGCACCAAGCTGCAGAACAAGGAGCATGTGATTGAGGCCCTCCGCAGGGCCAAGTCCAAGTTCCCTGGCCACCAGAAGATCCACATCTCCAAGAAGCGGGGATTTACTAAGTTTAATGCAGATGAATTTGAAAACATGGTGGCAGAAAAGCAGCTCATTCCAGATGGCTGTGGGGTCAAGTACATCCCTAATCGTGGCCCCCTGGACAAATGGCGGGCCCTGCACTCGTGATAGGCTTAGCACGCCCCCTCCCTACCCATGCCCACCAATAAACTCTACTTTCTTTTCCCTGAAAAAAAAAAAAAAAAAGACATACAGATGGCCAAGAAGCACATGAAAAGCTGCTCAATGTCACTAATTATTAGAGAAATGCAAATCAAAACTACAGTGAGGTATCATCTCACACCAGTTAGAATGGGCATCATCAGAAAATCTACAAACATGCTGGAGAGGGTTTGGAGAAAAGGGAACCCTCTTGCACTGTTGATGGGAATGTAAACTGATACAGCCACTATGGAGAGCAGTATGGAGGTTCCTTAAAAAACTAAAAATAGAATTACCATATGACCCAACATCCCACTACTGGGCATCTACCCAGAGAAAACCATAATTCAAAAAGATATATGCACCCCAATGTTCATTGCAGCACAATTTAAAATAGCCAGGTCATGGAAGCAACCTAAATGCCCATTGACAGATAAATCGATAAAGAAGATGTGGTACATACATACAATGGAATATTAGCCATAAAAAGAAACAAAATTGGGGCTTCCCTGGTGGCACAGTGGTTGAGAGTTCGCCTGCTGATGCAGTGGACACGGGTTCGTTCCCCAGTCTGGGAGGATCCCACGTGCCGCGGAGCGGCTGGGCCTGTGAGCCATGGCCGCTGAGCCTGCAC